AAGCGACTGCCTTCGGCTCAGGTCATGATCCTGGAGTCCCAGGATCGAGTCCTGCATCGGGCTCCCTGCTCAGCAGGGAGTCTGCTTCCCCCTCTGACCCTCCCCCGTCTCATGCTCTTTCTCTCTCTCTGTCTCATTCTCTCTCTCAAATAAATTAATAAAGAAAATCTGTAAAAAAAACCCAAAAAACAAACAAACAAAACAAAACAAAAACAACAAGGATGAACCTTGAAGACATAAAAAAAAAAAAGCTTCCAGAAATCATTATATATAACCATACATTGTTAAATTTCACAGAAATTGCCTTCATAGCTGTTAACAAAAATACCAAAAACTATATTCCTGTTGATTCTACATATGCAGCAACATCAAAGTTATTTACCTACCACAGAAGTGATCAGAAAGTACATTTCTCGACATTTAAATATCAAAGAGATAGTTTTCCATTTTTTGTCATATGGTATACCTACTATACTGCTCTGCAAACAGTGAATACTCAGAGAGCTTTGGAGACTCTTTCCACCCGTCACCCCTCAGCCCCCCCAAAATAGTAGTATCAAATAGGTCAAAAGTTCAGCCTGTTTTATAAAATACTTACCACCACCAGAGTACTAGTTTGGAAGTCAGCTTTCATTTAATGAGAAAAGTGAGGAATCTACCAGAATTGAGAAGCAAAGAACACACCTGAAATTCCACCTGAAAATGTATAGCTTCTACAGAATGTGTTCAATACAGATTCCTAAACTACAACCTACATTCAATCTAAAGAAACCCTAGGGAGCTTCACTTTACTGAAAGGCTTTCACTGCAATTCTAATGATCACAATATCAAGACACATCATGATTTTTCTGCTATGTAAATGAAAGTTAACACTTGCAAGTCTTAATTCTGACATTCATGTCTTACCTAACCCCCTTTTCACCACTTTCTAAAGATAACAGAAAAACCTAATAAGAAACAATTCCACAATAAATGTCCAAATGCTTAGCCAAAATATGTATACTGGAAGCAGGATGGTTTCTTAATAGTCAGTGGCTGCACATGATCTTGTATCTTATGACTAGCTTGCTGAGGGACTGGCCTTTTCTAAAACTTTAACAGGAAGAGAGAAGCAAGTAAAAAAAGGCAATGCGGATCTTCTCAGAGCAAAAACTTTAAACGAACAAACAAACAAGCCCCAAACCATGTACTATCAAAAGAAAAAAATCATCCATCTTCTCTCCTAAAAAGGGGCTCATCCACTTTAACTAATTAGCCTTACAGTCCTACTACTATTCTGCTTTGCTAAAATTTTGAAAGAGCGTTTTTTAAATTTTCAGGAAAATTAAGATGTGTTTTCCTTACTCTGGCCCTTTGCAAGAATATTTTATTATTAGTAGTTCTCTTCTTCCTGGACTAAAGGTCGGCCTCTATTCTGACATGTTCCAAGTTACTATGAATATTTCTTGTACCTATCACGTGTCGATTCACTAGCTCTTTTCTGAACTGGGGAAAAGGATGAGGGGAAAAAGTACAAAAGTCCTCCTCACTGAGACCTCTCACTGTATAAAACTTGGCATAGTTTACCACCTCAGATTTCCGCACCATGCCCAGTTGCTCCGGCTACTGTCTATACCGCCGCATCCATAGAATCTTACAAACCTGCTCTGCATCTCTGGACTAATCTCGTTTGAAAAGGTCCGATATGTACTGCTCCCATACCCGGTCGTTCGCACACCGCTGTTGCCCAACCCGGATTCCTACACCCGGGACAGATGTCGCCGAGTCCCAAGTCACGGTGCCCATCCTACTCCCAAACCGAATCCGGGGTTGGGACACGTCTTCTCCAGTCTTCGGCCGCCACCCCCCGGGCCCAGGGCAAGTGAACAGGACAGTCCCCTTCTCCCCCCCACCCCCACCCCAACCCTGGCACTCCTGCGGCAGTACTCAGCCCCGCACCCCGGCACATTCCGCATCCCCCGCCCCGGGACAGTCCGTGACTCCCGCCCAACCCCACCCCATCCCCTCAGCGGCTCGCCTCGCGGCAGGTGGAGTCTGAGGAGGGGGCCCTCGGACCCGCGGGTTGCTCACCTTGCTGAGGACTCCGCAGCGCTCCACAGGCGGCCCGGACTCCGTCTCCGGATCCTCCTCTGAGCCCGACGAGTTCCAGCTCTGGTTATCCGACATGGAGGCGCGACAGCCGAGCAGGAGACCGGCCCCCGCTCCCTGAGCTACGCCGGAGGAAGCGTCCAGTACCCGCGGTGAAGGGTCGGAGGATGGCGAAGGGAAGAGTGGCCGCTCCGGCGCAGGGGGGAGCTGGAGGAGGGACGAAGTCCGGCCGCTGCGCCCCCGCCGCCGCCGCCGCGCCTGACACCGAGCGGACCGGGGAAGGACGACAAGCCGGCCTTTCCAGCCGTCAGCCGCCGCCGTTGCCGTGACCCCTGCGCTGCGCCCGGCGCCACCACCCGAACTCAGCCCCTTCGATGCCAATCTCAAACACAGAAGGAAAAGGAAAGAAGGGAAGAGAAAAATCCAGCTGCAGAAACCCAGGTTCACTCACACCTCCGCTACCGCCGCCATCTTCCTGCCTGGCCCACTATTTACCCTCCCCTCCCCTTTCCCCTCCCCTTCGTCCTCCCATTCTCCCCCTGCTCCCCGCCCCGTCCCCCTCCCAACGTCTGACGAAGCACGCCGAGGGCTGGTGGTCCCCTCCCGCACCCTACCTCCGGTTCTCCCGGGTGCCGCAGGGTGGAAAGGTGGGAGGAGCAGAGAAAGGAGGAGGGATGGAGTCCCCGTTCTGTTGCATTCTGGGAAGGACGCTGCTCCGTCAGTCGCGCAGCTTCCTGGGAGTTGTAGTCGGAATCCTGAGGCAACCGGTGAGTGTTCCGCGCCCGGAAGGCTGTCGCCTTAGGGACCGGTCAAGTGGTGGGTGGGCTTCGTTTGACAGTTGTGTGATCCGTCCCCTCAGCCACCCTTCTATCTCTGCCTAGTGTGTTTATGACGAACCTGCGGAGCTTGCGGGCCCGGACGTGAGCTAACTCTCTGCTGAGGATGCCGGGCCTGCCTTCCATGGCTGTTTCCTGAAAGCCCGGGAGCATCTTGCCACTTTTCCGGGGTGGGAGTGTACCGGGCGCTTCTGCCTCTACCGCGGGCCAGTGGTTTGCGACCTCTCAGTGAAAACGGGGTTTCATTCCGCCAAATTCCCTCTGCAAATGGTGAAGGTCTTTTTATCTCGCTCTTTAGAAGTTAAACTTCAAACTTGATGTTTCCCGCGTTTGGAGGAAGAATTCTCAGTCCCTTCTCACCAGAGCAAGCATTTCGTATTGTTGATTGTTACAGAGTGTTCATTTTGTTGGTAGTAATTTTGAAGATGTCAGAAAATAAATGACGTTTGAAGAATTTTTAAAGTAAAATGAGAATGTAAAATGATAGACTGGAGTTTATTCTAAGTTGTAGATGAGTACCTTCCCTAACGCCAGGTTAACCATATCTACGGACCTATCTCTCTCAGAGATAGGAAAGGTTGTGGAGTAGAAACTTCATTGTATAAGATAAACCAAAATGCAATAGTCTTACTGAATAATAAGAGATTATGCAATGGGAGTCTGGCTTTAAGACTAGAATTGAATTAGTAGAAAGAAAGACCAATAGAAGATCTAACGGATCTTTGTCTATTTTTGCATAAATTATAGGGACAGTTTTTATTGTGAGATCTTTAATTTGTAGCTTCAGTTCTTTCTCTCGTTTGCTACTTTTACATCTTGTCAATTTTCTAATAATTGCCAACAACAAAATTCGTTATTAAACGTTAGAAAGAGTACCTGTGTACTGCAGTGGCTGGAGAATAGGAGTGAAATTTTGAGTCTAAGGGAAAAGGCACAGTGGCCGGAAATAACTGGTAGCTATAAAGGCCAACTTAACTGGGATCTTCAGGAAAAAACAGAATGATGGGAAGTGTCTCTGAGAAGTACCTATGATACCTTTTCGTTCCCCTAGATTGATGCTTATACATGCTGAATCTGTTGTATATAAGTTACAGATCGTTTTTCCATTGTGAAATCAAGTAGTAATTGATAATTGAAAGCCATACAATGAATAAAACCTTGAGATAATGCTTTTGAAAATACTTTGACAACATGTTAATTAACATAATCCCAAGGTTGTCATTCAAAAGAGAAAAAAGAAGAAACCCACTTAGCGTGTTTTCCTCTTTATTGAATTACTAAATTATATCTTTAGAATTTTGAATACTGTAACAATTAGGTTTTACTTTCCCTTTGGTTACCTAATATGGTTAGATGTAATATTTGATTCTTTTGAGCTCTAGGTTTTAAAAGGACATTAATCTTAAGAAAATGATTGTGAATTGTTGAGAAATCCACTTCATAATGTGATTTAGAATCATGGGAGCATAGTATTTATTTATATTGAAATTGAACTTTCTGTTGTCTTTTATGCATTTCTAAGTTGTGTGTGGTTGTAACCACCAGCACTTACATCTCTGAGGTTCCCACTTAGTAGGAAATTGCTTCACTGTAGTAGTCTGTTTCTAGCTATAGGGCTGAGGGAGGGGGCATTCTGAGAAAAAAATCATTTAACATACATGAAAATCCCATGATAAATGTTTAAATGGATGTATTAGACTGCATATATTATTTTGTTCCCTAGAATGTGAGTTCCATGGACGCAAGAATTTTAAATTTTTTTCATCCATTTTTTTCATAACTTTTTTCTATCCTTAGTCCCTAGAATAGTACTCAGCACATAGAAGGCATTCAATATAATTGGTATTATATTCTAACTTTCAGTTAATAATTTAACAAAAATACAAGATCCAGGATACTATGCTGAAGACTGGGTGATTTTAAGATAGTAAAAAGTTAAAAAGGGGGCGGGGGGCAGGGCTTGGCCTTCCAGGAGATTATAACAGAAAACAATGTAAGAAAAGTACAAATGTAACTTTAATAGCTGAACTAGTGTTTGAAAGAAGGTAACCTTTTTTCCTACCACTTGACAGTGACAAACCCTGTTTTCTAACCCTGTTATCTAATCCTTCTCCTGGATCTTTGTAGGCCCCTTGCCCCAGGTCTTTTTAGTTAAAAACAATGGCTATTTGGAATTCTAAAGAAAAAGGGATTGTCCTTGTTTGCTGATCTCTTTCCACCAAGTTATCATGTAAACTATTCAAAATAATATAAATTGATAGATCTTTTTTTTATAACTTGTTACTGTGTTTATGACATTCAGCGTATCCCCTAAATGAAGTTCAGAAATTTAAAAAATGTAAAAGATACTCTTCAAGCCTCTCTGCCTTTTCAATTTAACCAGAACTACTTGACCCTTTAAATGCATTGTTCCCCCTGTTTTGAATACTAATCAATCATATTAGCTTCTCTTCAATGTTCCTGTGAGGCCTGTTCAAGAACTGCCACTATGGTGATTCATGTGAGTTCAGAGTGAGCAAGGAGATAGTCCCTGGGTATGAATCCTAGCTGGCTTCATCCTTAATAATCATATGAATTTGGATGTGTATTTAATAAATACTAACTTAACAAATAGCATTATTAGTTTAATCAGTCTCTTTTTATCATATATATCCCAACTGTTGTGCTGTTAAATGCATTTGTAAATGAATATTTGCATAAGTATATCAAAATGGATATTCATTTGTATGGTGGTGAATGCATCTATGTCCATGTCCGAACATGTAAACACTAGTTTCAGAAATGTAAAGGACTACAAGAAACTTGCATGTTTTCATCTTTTGTGATCTTATACAGAATTATTGTAAAATACCCTTACAAGTGTATTCACAAAACTGGATACACTGTGTAAAGTGAATACAGGAATATCGAGGTCATTGCTCCCCTTAGTATCTTAATCTCTTGTGTTGGTGCAAAAACAGATTGTATTTCACCTATCTATGATTAACATCTGGCATGCTTATCTTCCAAATTAATGGTTTTCAGTTAAACTTAGATCTTAACAGGTATATTCATATCTAGTGTAGGCACCCCAAGTTTACACAAGTGTCTATGAATGAACTTTACAGGATCGTCAACTTTCTGAAAGAAAAAGGTAAGCGATTCAGCCAGCAAAATCGAGTGTATTCAAGAATAGCAGAGGAATTGCAATTTCGGACAAGCAGACCATGGTGAAACATAGGCAAATCTATAGAGAACAGAGGAGAGCATCACTGTATAGAGGAAAGGAGGAAGTTGGGAGGGGTTATTTTGAACAAAAGTTCATTGGAGGAAAATGAGAGTTGGAAGTGGTGGTGGCTTCTCATTGGCTGCAGGCCAAGGGCAGAAAGAAGAGAATATACGGGTCTGATCCTGTCATCTTGGGGAAGCTGTCTACTTCAGTGTCCTATGCTTCATTTCCTGGAAATCTTTAATTTGAGGTCAGCAGTTGATGTGCAGGTCCAGTCAGGGTTTGGAGCTTTCTTTAGATGAGACACATGAATCTGGGAGTCAACTCTTGGAGTTTAGTGGCCCAAGGATGGTCCATAACACTTGATAAGGGCCTTTCCAATGTGGTTGAAGAGAATCTTTTTGGAGATGTCTTGTCCAAGAAATGAAATCCCCAGGTTGCAGTGTGTGGTGTTGGAGGGCTTCATCTCCTGGGAGTGTGCTGTGAAAAGATTGCCCTACTAGAGCATGATTATTTTGGGGGGATGTAATTTGGCCTTTGCAATACTGAAATATATCTCCTTTTATTAGGTGCAGGTCAAAAGAGGTGGAAGCTAGAGGTATAGAGCACTCAGTAATTATTTCAAAGGGTGAAAGTTTATGAGTTCTAAAGGGTTGGATCTGAGATTTAAGACCATCAGCGATATTTTTGGCCAAGGGAGTTGGAGGGTTTCCACAAATTTTGCCAGTTGAGTTTTGATGATGCTTTTGGTTAGTCTGACTAGTTCTAAACACTGAGTATGGTAGCAGTGAAAATGCTGTAGAACTGGTCAAACAGCACAGACTTGCTGTAATATTTGACCAGCAAAATGGGTTCCCCAGTCACTGTGGAGCTCAGGAGGGGTTCCCCAGGTAGGGATGATTTTTTCCAATAGGATTTTAGTTATCGAAGAAGCAGTAGCTTGTCTATGTGGAAAGGCTTCAAACCAGTGGGAAAACATGCAAATCATTACCGAAACATATTTGTATTCATGAGATGGAGGTAGCTGAATAGAGACCATTTAGGAAAGCTCAAATAGTCCTTTGGGCAATTTAAAGTGCCCAGGAGCAGTGTGAACAGATTTCTTGAATTGTTTTTTGGTGAGGGCAGCTTGCTATTGCTAGACAAAGGGGAAACCTTTCTTCCAGCTGGACTATGCAAGCTTTGACAAGCGGTACGTGCATGATAGTCCTCCCTTCATGGCTTCCCGAACACATTTTCACAGGATCTATCAGATTTTTTGAGTAATAGAACAAACTTTTGCACTTGATGAAAAAAAAAGACCAAAAGCTAGTCATAAAATCTCGTTGGATAAAAACCTTGTAGTTAATCTGACCAGATTATGTGCGTTCTTTACATATGAATGGTCCCCATAGCCAGACAGCTGCAGAAATTTCTCTTTCCTTCCTGCATATGCATTACTAGTT